GAACCGACAATGCGAGCGCGAAAATTGGTCGCGAATCCGTCGCGCTGCCGGTAGAACGGCCGGCAAAAGTCGGCGCGCGATTGGGCAAGTGCGCGGGCGCGTTGGGCAATGTTTAATAGGCCGACCGGCAGCGCGGAGTTAATACCATTGTAATTGTATTGCTGTCGCAATGAGCCTGCACCGGCGGTCGGCGCGCGCGCTGCAGTTGGGCAACGCGCGGCAATGCAACGAAAGTATCGACGGCGCGCGCCCCGGCAGTCCAGCTATTCCGGATAATTGTCGCGACGGCCAACGATTTGCATCTGGTCCGTTGGCAAACGCGGCGCCGGGCTGCGCCTTTCGTTCCGCATCGGCGGACTCGCGCGCCGAATCTTTTCATCGCCAATTGACGGCAAGCAGGGGGGCCCCCGATCGAGTCCGAGTATTCTCGCGCGCCGCACGGCCGCCGCTGCCAACTAGAGCTGCGCTCTGCCTTTGACGGATCGACGTTGCAGTTTTCGTGAGTACCAAAGTGCTGCTACTGTACGTTCGGCGCGCCTCCTCCCAAGGTTGGCTAAATTGTGGAATTCTGGGACGGTTGCATGTAGCCTTCGCTTTATTCATTGCAAACTGCAGAAGGCCACAAATGCAGAGACTTCTACTCGTGATTGACCTTCGATTTGCCATTAGTTATAAGTACAAGCATTTCTGCGATTTTAGTTTGTAAGAGCGTATTGTTTTTATACTCGATCTTTGCGCGTTTCCCGAAACGTTGTGCGAGCGACAGTTTGCACTGGTGTTCATTTGCCTCTATCCGTAACAGTTCAATGTAAAGTCAACTAAAGAACGCTCCAAGAGGCAATCAAAAATGGGTGAAAGCATAGCGGACCCGGTCAACGAATGCACCCACTCGATTGCTCGTTTTTTACCGCGATGCTGGATTGTGTTGGAGTCCCGCGAGGCGCAAAATCCTTGGACCAACGGTATCGTCGACGCGACGCGCAAAACCGTGAAAACTCCTCGACTTCCAATCGCCAGTGCGGCTTTCCTTGATCGATTAGTTCGGGGAATTCCGGGTTGTTACGCGAATACATCCGGATCTGGGCAGATGGCGCGTACGCGCCAGCGGGCGATTTATCTCGTTTGGCCGAAACTTTATCGACGTAACATTTTTAACCGAGAGAGTCTGGTTGCAGACTCCGTTTGACTTTCTAAACTAGTCGCTCGACGATGCTCTTCGTTATCGATTGCGTGCGTCGCTAGTTTCTTTTTTCATTTCTTTTTTTTCTTCTTCTTTTTATGCTGCGCATATGAAATGAAGCATTGGGTTAAGTAACAGTTATTCCGATTCGATCATCAATCTGCGAGGTATTCCCATGTCGCTAGGTGTTTCAGACAGAATATGGCTTATTCATGCTAATCGCGTAACTCTCACGTTGTTCCACGGAACCTCATCGGTTTCCTGTACTGCCAAGACGCATTGTTTAACGAGGTACGCTCGTTAGTTCGTTCGTGCGATCGACAAGAAGCGGCGAAAGCAGCGAGATACGATGCAGATTCGCGTGGGCGTCTCGCCGATCCGGCTGACGGTGTACCGTGACAACCGCGAGTTCTCGTCGACTAGGAGAGACGACGGAAGAGCGCGAACGTAAGCGTCGCGGATCGAAGGCTTTTGGGAGAGCCCGTAGCGTCCGCGTCGCCGAGCTCCGTGACGAGTCGTCGTGGCGGTCGACGATCGGCAGACGCCGGCCACGGCGGACCGAAGCCGCGACGGAGGAAAAAAAACGACGAGAGCGAGCACGCGCGGCGAGTCCGTAGGAAGTTCACGAGGACGCGCTGTAAATCTCGATTGGCGAGAGAGAGAGAGAGAGAGAGAGAGAGAGAGACCTTTCGCTGGAAGTTGACGGGCGCCCGAAGCGGAGAGACGCCTGGAAAAGGCGCTCTGGCAATCGCCTCTTCCTTTTCTTTTTTATTTTTGCATAATCGCCACGGCCGCGTACGCGCAATGTTTGCGCGCGGGAGCCACTCGCCACGAACGCTACGGGGATCCGTCGAGTGGGCAAGCGCGAGACGGCGAGGTCGCTTCTCGCGTCGCGCTCCCTTGCCCGCGGTCGCTTTCGGCGCAGGACGACGCACCGGCAGCCGGGAGTACGTGGGCGCGGCTGTGCCTTTTCGCAACCCGATTTCGTTTGCTCGGCGCGTCCGCGAAGGTCCTGGCCTATCTCTCTCTCTCTCTCTCTCTCTCTCTCTCTCTCTCTGCTCGGTCGTCGTGACACTCGCGCCGCGAGGAAAGCTGCCGAGTCACGGGCAGACGCGCCGGGCGGAGACGCTCGCCCCGATGCCTCGGCGGCCCCCGCAGTCCCTGCGTCTTTCTCTCCCGCTCGCGTAACGCCGATGACGCCAATCGCCACGGTGGCCTCGACTCCTGGGATCCCGCGCGGCGATCGCCGAGGGCTGTTCGGGCCCGCAGCCTCTGGCGGCGGAGCGAGCGCGCCAGTCCGCAGCCTTACGCTCGCCGCTCCATTGTCTTTGCGAGCGAGCGAGCGAGCGGGCCGCGCGCGCCGCATCAGCGGCAAATGCTCGTTAGCGAGAAAATGAGGAACGAGGAGGAGGCCGACGAGGTCGCGCCGACCGATACCGCGAACCGAGAGAATTGACGAGCCGAGAGAAAAAGAGCGAGGCGCGCGCGCCCGAACGGGTGAGAGCGAGGCACGTTGCTCAACGCGCCGACCGACCTTGACAACGTGCTCGCGACTCCTTGTAATTTTTCTCTCTCTCTCTCCTCGCGTCCCGCGTCCGATTAGCGCGTGGCGGCTGCGCGCGCGCCTCGCTCCCGATGGCGATGGCTCGTCCCGCGCTGCGACGCGCGCGGCAATCGCGGCCCTCGATAGCGCCGATACGCCGCACCACGCCCCACCGCGCAGAGCTCGACGCCGGCACAGCGTGCTGCACGGCCGTCGACGGCGAGGCGTTCGCGCGCTCGCCGGTCGGAACTGGCGGACTCGGCGCAAGTCGGGATTCGCGCGGCAAGGATGCGCGGGGCTCTCTTTGTGCGGCGCAGCCTTCGTCGAGTTGCCGCAAAAAGTGCAGCGTCACGCGCGTCTCGAGCATTTTCTCTCTTTGCTGCGCTGCCTCTGGCATCTTCGGGAGCGATTAACAGGAGACGCCCGGGGGTGGGGGGGGGGGGGGGGCGATGATCGCCGAGCGCGCGGCACCTTGAAGATCGGCAAGGTCGAACGCCGCGATCGGAGATCGGTCGTCGCCGATGCCTGCAGCCAGCCGACGAGGCCGACGTACGCGTCGTATGGAACGGGGCGCGCGCGACAAAGCGCGAGAGCACGTTGTAAAGCGAGGAGAAGGCCGCGCAATTGTTGATAGGAAAGTGGAACGCGACGAGAAGTGCGCGGCTGCAATGAGTAATGAAAGCCGGCGGAATGCGCGCGGCGACGGCTATTACAGGCAGAGAAGAGCCCAGATATTCAGAAACGTTCGCGTTCTCGCGCGGCTCTCGGCCTTGACGGACGCAAGCAAGGCTCGAGTTGCATCGAAAGTGAAATAGAGCTACGGCAACGGCTTACCAAACTCGCCTATAATGTAAACCGGGCGTGATACCACGGCCGGGCGACGAGCGGCATGCGTAACGCGCGCGCGACACGAATGAGCGGCCATTCGGCTGCCTCTCGCTGTCGCTCTCTCTCTCTCTCTCTCTCTCTCTCTCTCTCTCTCTCTCTCTCTCTCTCTCTCTCTCTCTCTCTCTCTCTCTCTCTCTCTCTCTCTCTCTCTCTCCTCTCTCTCTCTCTCTCTCTCTCTCTCTCTCTCTCTCTCTCTCTCTCTCTCACTCTCTGCATAACGCATCGCGACGCGCCGGTGCCGTTTCGTCGGGGCGCGCGACCGCGCGAGATGTCGTTGGCGAGCGAGCGCGAAGTGGCCGAAGTGTGCCAGCGCGGTCGATCGATAATTGTCCCTCGCATCGATCCTCGCTCGCTCGTCGTTCCGACGAGAGCCCACTGCTGTCTCTCTATCTCTCTCTCTCTCTCTCTCTCTCTCTGTCTGTCTGTCCGCGGTGACGAAAGCCGGCGGTCGATTGGGTCAGCCCGCGGGCGGAATTCAGCGGCGCGCCCACAACAGCGTGTTCCGCGGCAGTGCCGTCGCGCATGAATGGGCGTACGATCGAAGTGAAACTCGCCGACGACGAGCGGGAGCCCGAGCGCGGCCTCGGGCGCCGCGCCGCCGCGTGCTCACGGGCGCGCGTTGAGTAATGGGCGCGCGCCCTGGATCACGTATGTACGCGCGGCGCCGCGAGTGTGCCGCGCGAGAGCCTCGGCTGCCGATCCTGTCCGCGCGCCGCTTCACCGCCGATCGCGCGCTCCCGGCGCATTGTGCAGGCGCGCGCTTTCAGTTTCGCTTTTGGCGCCTCCGCGCGCGCGCCGGCGGTCGTCCGACTCCTCGACGCCCCTCGCGGCTGATCGACCCACCGCGCGCCGGCCGTGCTCGCCGAATGTATCGAGCGTTCCGTCGACCGAGCGCACGCACGCGTAGGGAACGAGGAGGAGTTGCCTGTCGCTCTTCTGCGATGTCGTCGAACCGCTCGACGACGAACGCTAGACAAAATTACCGACGAACGTATAGCGAATCATCCGACAATTCTGATCGTCGCTTTCTGCGCACGAAACATTTCTCCCCTCGCAATGATATTGTAAGTCTCTCGTTGCGATCGTTATAAGCAAACGGCTAGAAAGTCACTGAAGCTTTGAAATATCTTTGTAAGTAAGCGGCTGCGCGGAGTGCATTTTTTTAAATTAGCCCCATCCAATTATCGGAAGCGACAAATAATTGAGCAGTATCTTTAAATCTTATGAAACTAGCAACAAGATTTTTAAGAAAAACTCAATAAGTCTGATAAAACAGCTTCATTGACAATACCAACATCCATTGCTTAAATTATACGAAAACCGGTTTTGTGACATCTAATGTACATTTCATTTAATAACTATGTATAATTATTTCTTTCTTGTTTCAAGGCGCAGTTTTTCCAAAACCGGCACAGACCATTAAGACGCTGATCCTATTGCCGTAAGGCTTGCTTTACAAACATGTCAATCGTCATGGAATATGTGGATCGATTTCACGAGATGTTGGATAAACACGCAGGTACATTTTTGAAGCGATCATCTCAAAATCTCAAAGTTAAATTTTCATTTTGGAATACTGCCCTCCGTAATGATGAAGTCTATCAACGCACTCCATTTAAATATTTACATTGGCTCAATGATTAATTTTAATGCCAGAAATAGAGTGCGGAATCTCTCACACATTGCGAAACTTCTTTTATAATTGAAAACTCTGCAGAACGCTCTCAGCCAATATTATGATGGAATTTATTATGATTATTTTTACTTACGTCAATAGAATTGTATAATGTTTACATTTAGATAAAATTACACATTTTTATTTCTGAAAACTGAAGAGAGGAGGGAATAGTCAAAAGTGTTTCTCAAATTTTTATGTAAATCGCCAGAATTTCAAATAATAATCTTTTCAAACTGTTTAATCAACACAATATTCTTTCAGACAAACGGACGGTCGGTTGGTTTTTAATGAGTTCTCCATTCCCCACGTTAATCATCTGCCTTAGTTATGTCTACATTGTCAAGGTTTTGGGCCCAAAACTTATGGAAAATCGAAAGCCTTTTCAACTCAAGAACGTTCTGATAGTCTATAATTTCTTTCAAGTTCTCTTTTCGGCGTGGTTATTTTACGAGGTATGTTGAAACTAGAAATTTTTTCTCTCTATTGGAATGAAACTTAACGATAAAATAACTTTTAATACTAAAAGTGTAAAGGAAGAAGACACTTGAATTATCTCTGTCTTTTTGGTAAATAACAATTGGATTAATATTTGAATAATTTTTCAAACAATCTGAGCGCCAGTCGAAAATATTTGTAAGAATTATTGAGGTCTTGAAAGATTCAACATCCAAATGTACAAAGGTAAATTAACAATTAGAGAGCTATCAAGACCTCTTCATCTTGTACATTGTTATTCGTTACGTGCACAATTGAAAAAGTATATTGACAGTTACGGGTTTGAATATCAGTGCCGACTAAATAATTATTTGATTATGTAATTTAATCGTGAAATTGCAAATAATAACAGACTAAATAAGGCCAAACCGAATAAATTGTATGATTTTTATTGCGTCACGCGGAATTGTTTCCTTTGGCCTATTTCGTACTCGCAGAAAATTAATTTTTCTACGCGAACGAGGTATTTCGATTGTGCATATAACAAATTTCTGTAAATAAAACTGTACAAAGAAAAAGACAAGGAGAACGTGAAAAGTAGAAATTTCAAATTTCGATAAAACAAATGCAGAGTCTGATGGGAGGCTGGTGGGGCGAATATAGTTTCCGCTGTCAACCAGTAGATTATTCCGACAATCCAACAGCTATAAGGGTGAGTTTTGTGTGCAACCTTCTTTTCAGACTGAAGCTGATTGTCCCTGACGACGCAGACGACGAAACTGGCCCTGAAGTTCATTTACTAAAGAGTTCATTATCTGATCCTGTCAAAACTGTTTCCACACGCGTATGAGTATACGCAAATCATGCAAGCACGTGTTTTGATTATTAAATACATGTTTTTGTTTATTACGTTATAATTTATTAGCTTTCTACGTTCAAAGTTTAAAGATACCGGCCCAGTGCAATTTGCATAAATTTTTTTTCTATTTGATGGTTCCCTAACTACTGGCCGAGATGTTGTCAATTGTGGAGCTTAGCTAGATTTATTAGCATCAATTTTATTAACGGTTAATCCTATTCACAGTAACTATTGCTCTAACATCTTCACCGGACAGGAAATTTTTAATGGTTCGATTGCGAAGTACGTGGTTTTCAACATTATACTCTTTTGCTTTTTGTAGCTGCTTGTGCTGCTTAGGTGTTTCAGTTAGTATGTTCAAATGATGAATTGGAAAGTTGTCATATTCAACAAAGTTATTTATATCGCAATTAATTTTATAACTTATTCTTAACGTACTAAATCACAAATCTACAAATTATTTGGTAGTCGCTTATTTTTAAATACTTCAAACCAATTTTTGAAATAAGGGAAGCACGTAGGGTAAATATACAATTGAAAAATTTCTAAGAAACTAACCAGACTAGATTCTGCGACATTTCAAAATACATCATATAAACATATCGCTATATGATTTATTTTTGCAGTAAAAATGTACAGTTTAATTTGCAAACAATTTAAGGTTATTAATTTTGTTGATACAATTGGTATAAAGTATTACGTTAATATCTTAAAATTTTGAATTTCACATATTAATTGGAACATCAAATTGGAAAATAATAATGTGCCGATATATTATTGGAATCAGTGGAAAAATCAATTTTTCGTTATATTTCTTCACCAGTAATTGCTTGCTATAGTTCGCTGTACTTTAATAAGCTTCAATTTGTACAATTGCTGCAACTCAATGAATGAGGTATATCTCACATTTGAATAAATCAAAGTATATTCACGAAGCGAAGTGTAAATATAGTTTCATGGACATATATTGTATTTAGAGCAAACAAAGTTTATGTAACATGATGTGTATAATGAAAAAAAATGTTTTATATTCTAATATTGGTTCGATGGCCTTTGGGCGGTTGTGGTTGCAGATAGGAATGTCCGGATGGCTGACGGGCGAGTACTCGTTGAGGTGTCAACCGGTAGACTACAGCGATCGGCCCCAAGTATTACGGGTGGGTTTACCGAATGCCTTATTAACCTAGTATTATGGTCATACTAATTTGCTTTGCTATCGTGATATTCAAGTTTTTATTTCACACTTGAAGACAAACGAAAATCTTAACATACTAAGCTTTTAAATGTCATAAGGGATACATTTTTTATTTATTTTACGAATGACACGAGCATTATGAATTCTGACTAACGTTGATAAAGATTCAAGTATTTTTGTGTAAATTGATTTCACGCAATATTTCACATTATATCCAATCATATTGGTATAATGTGAAACAAACAAAAAATTTCCCTTGTGACTACTTATTACCATTTTCCAAATAATAATGACACTAGATTTATATTGACTTACCATGAACGGATGCTACATGCAGAAGAATTAAACATTCTTGACTGGCATGTCTAATTCGTTGAAGCTCGATAGAATCGATCGATAGAAGTATTTTTAATCGTAAAAAAGCTTTGGTGAGTAAACGCGAATGGGTGTTTGTAGCACTGATTTTTATTAATTATTTTCTTTTCTATCGAGAAAACATTATTCAAAATATTGGAGTAATTAAAATCACATAATCGTAATAGTCGAATGTAATGTGCAATCTGTCACTTTATATTTACATTGCAAAAAAATGCAAGCTAATTAAACACTAAAATTTTACTAAAATGTCTTTTGTATGAATATTTTGTACATATAATAATGTTAAACTTATATTAAATATTTCGAGGATTACTAACAGCAAGTATTTTTGCTTCTGAACTGTGTTTAATGCATAGCTCCGTGGTTAGAACCCTCATGCCGGTCTTTACTCGAGAATACTCACATCCTTATACTCACATATCCATATCCATACCAATCAGTACAAATATTGACACACACATATACTTATGAGTTTTTTCTCTTGATTGTTTCCCAAGTTATTAAAGAATTACTAAAGAATTATTTTTGTTTTTGCTTGTTATAAGCCGAAAATATACAAAAATAGCGTGGGAACGTGTCGAAATGTTACCATGGCTTCCGCCTGCCTTTGCCTTCCGTTACGTATTTGGAAAAAGTCAAAAATGCTTATGTTAGTGCTCGAAACTTATTGGTGAAATTCTTACGACAGACTTGGATTCGATTAAGAATTATTGCATCAGGTTAAGCGTATGCGAATGTAATTTCAAATAGCAGAATTTTTATTATACTAATTCGAATGGTTTTAATGGTTACGTTTATTTTCAATCAAACTACCGTCAAAGGAATCAATGCTTGTTCGTCGGAAACTTGACCTGTAAACGCGATGCGATAATAAAATGATTCGATTGGTAATCGAGCGCATGAAAGCGGTGAAAATATTTGTAGCGAGGCAGGTTATTCCGGTGAGATTATTCGGGCGCCGATCGATCGGGTTGCACCACTCAATGACATAAGAGGATTTTGGTCGTTCTAGCTCATACGAATACCGGTACGAAAGAATTTGGCGCGACTGGGCCTCGCTGCAAACGAGACAGTTCAACCTGTCACGCGTTAGTGAAAGCGGTTCTTTTTCCCATAGGTCTGTTTTCATATGACTACTCGCAAATTTCAAGCCGGTCTAGTCGGCTTGATTAATTTCGTTAATCAGTTTAGTTTTTAGGTCAAGCTTTAACATAGCTCCGAGACACGTATCCAATCGCCAAATCATATTCACCATGTGCGCAACTGTCTTGACATAGTAACAGCCGTCGAATGCGTTAAGCTGTATGATATTCGGAAATAACAGAAAATGTAACTGACTCTGTACGATTAGTTTGGATAAATATTTAAATGTTTTTATTTAATATTTATTAACAAATGTATTGTTGTCTCTATCTAACTTGATTTATCAAATCTCAATACTTTCATTAGAATTGTCAAGAGAAAGAACTCGACAATACTACTTTGACAATGATTACACGATACATGCGCTTACACGACTGTTTACGTTCAAACTACTCGATTACTTTGCAAAAGATAAATGCAAGAGCAATGTGATTAGGCGAAATTAAGAAATTTGTTTTAGCGATCAAAGTAATCGGTGGTTTAATTAACAGAAATGGATCTGTTCCAGATTCAAACACATAAATTTACTACTTATTCGACTTTAGAAAACGCTAAAAATATCTAAGCTTTTTGCCCTCCAAGAAAAAAGAAGATAAAAAGATTTAGATATTTCCTCACTTTCTGAATTATCAACTTTTTTAATAATGAAATATTATTTACCGACGACAGATGGTTCATGCAAGTTGGTGGTACTACTTCTCCAAATTCACAGAATTTATGGATACGGTTGGTACATCATTCTTATTGTACGCGAAATCAATTTAGAAATGTCATGTACAAGTGTATCGCTCCAAAATTTCAGATCTTTTTTGTACTGCGTAAAAAAACCGATCACGTATCCACACTTCATGTGATCCATCACGGTTGTATGCCCATGTCTGTTTGGTTTGGCGTCAAATTTACACCTGGTGAGTAGGTCTTAACCGAAACTAAATTACCATTTGGTCAACGGCGCCTTCCTTACTCCAAGGCAAACCTACATCATCCTTTTGTGCATTTTTCAGGCGGACATTCGACATTCTTTGGTTTGCTCAACACGTTTGTACACATTATCATGTATTCGTATTATCTGTTGGCTGCCTTGGGCCCCAAGGTGCAACCATATCTTTGGTGGAAGAAGTACCTCACAGCTTTCCAAATGCTACAGTTCGTAGCAATCATGGTGCACGCATTCCAACTACTCTTCATTGACTGCAATTATCCGAAAGCTTTTGTCTGGTGGATCGGCATGCACGCCGTCATGTTCTTCTTCCTGTTCAACGAATTCTACCAACAGAGTTATGCACAGAAAAGTAGAAAAGGTATGTACCGCCTTTCGCTCATTACTGTCAATTTATTTATCTATTTTTATTATCTAATTATGTGCATTGGCGCGTTGTAGACGATAGCTATGTCTTAGTAAAATAGAGCGAATATAAAACTTTATCGATTAATTTCAGCCGCAAAAGCAGCCGCAGCCGCAGCAGCAAAAGAAGCATCAGCTAGTAGCAGCACGTTATCAAATGGAAAAACGCCGTACAATGGCACTGAGTTAAACGGCACGAGACGACGAGAGGCTGCCGATTATTACGTCAAGGGCGACAGCATCGCTGTCTCTGAATTGCATTTGCGAAAACCTGCATTCGCCGCTGCAGCTGCCGCTCCTAGTGAATAATTCTCGATATTGGTATCTGCGAAGGAACTTTATTTTTTGTTTGTTTTCTTGTTGAAAAAAAAATTATGATAGCCGATAGATTAAGTAATGAGCTCGTATTTCAAATGCGTTTTTAAAATTAGCGATGAAAATGTGTGAGTGTACGCGCGCGTGTTTGTAAGAGAAAAAGACAGCAAAATAGAGGAAGAGAGGGGGAGACAGAGAGAGAGAGAGAGAGAGAGAGAGAGAGAGAGAGAGAGAGAGAGAGAGAGAGAGAGAGAGAGAGAGAGAGACAGACAGACAGACGACAGACAAAGAGAGAAGCGTCTATGGAAGAGACAGGCGGGTTCACAAAAGTTGTGGTGTGACATTAACGCAGTGTGCAAGAAAAAGAAAGAACAGAACAAAGCCTTGCTATCAGTGTTGACTAGCACACTGTTATCGTCAGCGACCTGAGAAAACTTTTGATTACGTTTTCTTGCGAGATTTTTCTTTCTGTACTCAAAGATGAAACTCCAAGTGTGCCGATAGTTACCTGTTGGAGCTTCCTATATTGCGGTTACTTCACTAGCGATTAAGTGTGTTATATACAAAGAACTTGCGATTAAAATTTCATCTACATTTTTCAAACTGTACATTCGGCTGTATATGCAAGAAAGTAATGTTGTTTTTCTTCCTGAAACAGTTAGTACTAATACCGATATTCGCTTGACTGCTGAATCATTGTAAATCCAATCTAAAAATTAGGTACAATCAATTCTCAAGATATGATCACTTCATTCAAAAGTCTCGATCTACTAAGATCTATGAATATATATTATAGAAAAAAAGAAGTCAGATTGCTTGATTGCCAACTATAAGATCATCAATATTTACATAAACTTATAAATTTATTATGTATATATAATAATACGTTTAAGTAACAAAACGTGCCAATGATTGAACACTGTTGAAATATACATTATTAGTTTATTGTTTTAATGAATTAAAACGAACAAGTATGTACATCCGCTATTCTTGTGATGTTTTCCGCTTTACAGTTTCTAGTTTGCTCAATGAATAATGCGTGCTATCGACGCTGAATATTATTTACTTTTTTTATTGAATACCTTACATTTTTAAAAAGTATCAACTTTCATGTCAATGAATCATATGTTTTTCTTTTTTAAATTAAGGAAGATTCACTTGTTCAATTTATCAAATCTGCGATACCCGATGCGCCATTCTTTCATTGATAGAAAAAAAATCATTGTAAATAAATTATATATTGTTGGAAAAGTTAGGGTTCGCGTACAACACGTGCAATAATAGTGGTCTTCGACATGTAGAATATAGTTGATAGGGTGTCATTCTTTTTATAGGCGAATATTTTTCATGGCAATTTTAAAATGAAAAACGTTTATACATAGTTAACTTAATATCTCAATAATTCAATAATTAACAATTAAAAGATCATCACGGTCCTGTGATATTGGCTAAATTTGATTTTTATAACGTGCTTATTAAGTAACTTTTTTGAGAACGTTTTTATAGAAATAAAATTCATTTTTATAATGAATGATTACATCAATCGAATTAGTAGTGTAATTATAAAAATAAAATAAATAATTATGTTTTATGAACGAGTTCTAAGCAGTACTTAAATACAATAAGTACTATAAAGTTATTTCTTTATTCACAATGATGTTGTTGTAGTTTTGAAATGTTCCATTAGGACTTTTTTATGAAATTTGTAATGAAACATGTTGAAAGAACATATACATAACACTACTGCCATAACAAGTGTTGGAAAAGCGCCTATCTGATAAGGTAAAATAACAATTGTATAAATTTTAAGCTCTAAATTATAAAATTAATTTTCCAAATTGAAAGAAATACCATTGTATAAATTTTGTTTTCAATTTCTTGTCCTTTGATGAACAAATAAATTGAAATATTTTTTGAGTCTTATTTCACCGATTTTTAACACTTATACAATTTCTAAGATGGAATATTTTTACATTATAATTTATTCAAAATATGTAATATTTAAAATCATTTTGATTGTATGATTTTGATAAAATTACTTTTTTAAATACAATTTTAATATTCGCGCTAAATAGACGATCCCAGTTTTGATTACTGGATCAATTTTATCTGTTGGTTAATACAGTTTGGCAGGTTCATTTTTGCGATTAATTGAGTCTGGAAATGACAAATTTTTAAATGCATTATTTTTATAATTAATCCATTGAAATTTTTAAGAATTTCATATTTGTATGCATTTCTGCGTACGCAGTATGTACACATGCATAAATTGATTTAGGTAAGAGTGGCTTGACACCTTAAGTCTTCTTCACGCGAAAACAGACAAAAAGTTTCAAGTGTATCTGCAGTAACATAAATTTTTTTCTGCATTAATAAGTCAGAATAGAAAATATTCTATTTTATTTATCTATCATATTTTATTTAATATTTTTCGGATTGGATATTTGGAATAGTCAACGAACATAATTTATTATTAACACGAAACTTACGGCTATCAGGACGCTAAGATTTCTGGCATCGTTTCAATGTGCAGGAGACCTAAGTTTGAGTTTGCACTGGCGGTGACTGTGCAGTGTACACTGACTGCGAAGCCAGTAGGCACCGACTCAAAACGAAGTTTTCAGAAATTTATTGTTCTGTCAGGTCTGTGTTGATGATTTGCACTTTGAGTGGATGAGCCATGCATGTATAGTCCTTCCACTTATGCAAACGTACGTATGAACGATCAGTATTAAACTTCATTAATAAGTAATGCCGAATGGTGATACTTTTTTTAAACACTTTCTTGCTGAGGATACATGTCCTACTCAAGTATAAAATATTACTGCCAATATTGTGTATTTATGCAGTCCGTGCATAAAACTCATTTCTGTCAAGTGACGTGTTAATCACATCCCAATCAGTGTTGACGTATTTTTGCATATACATCGCCAACTCTTCTTACTTTTTTAATCAATAATTGAAAGGGTGCATGCATCCATCCAAAGGTGCGGTTTGTCTGACAGATAGTGCATTTTTTTGATAATTATCAAGACAGTTATTAAAGGACCGTCAAAATGTTAGCACTCATTAATCGGATTCTCGACTGGTTCAAATCTCTTTTTTGGAAAGAAGAAATGGAGCTGACCCTCGTTGGACTCCAATATAGTGGAAAGACGACATTTGTAAATGTCATTGCGGTATGCTTCTATTTGTTTTTTAGCTACATTTAAATATTACTGTATATTGTTTGAACGTCGAATTCGCGAATTTTAGGTTAGGTGCCCCTCCCTATAATCGTCAGTTTTTATTATTCTTTTTCATTCGAATTTTGTTTTTTTTTTTTCGCACTTGATATTTCCATTATCGTCTTTTCTATCACTGTTCTAAACAAATTGTTGGTTTAGTAATAATTCTCTGAACTAAATATAGAATAAATGTCTCTTACTTGTTTTTATTCTACTTAAATTTTAGATCAATTACATTTGATAAACTGAATTATTTGATAAATAATTAAGAAATTTTAAGAACTCAAAATATATTTATTAAAATTTAAGTATTATTTTGTGTGGATAAGAGCATTGATTAACATTTACACCTGTTGCATAGAAATAAATTTAACAATAAGGAATAAAATACATTTGTAATTTGTAATTTACTTTCTGTTGTTCAGTCTGGACAGTTTAGCGAAGATATGATCCCAACCGTAGGATTCAATATGCGTAAAATTACAAAAGGCAATGTCACCATTAAAATTTGGGATATTGGGGGTCAACCAAGATTTAGATCAATGTGGGAACGTTATTGTAGAGGTGTTAATGCTATTGTTTACATGGTGGATGCAGCTGATCCAGAAAAAATTGAAGCAAGTCGTAATGAGTTACACAATCTATTAGATAAGCCCCAGTTAGCTGGTATACCAGTATTGGTTTTAGGAAATAAAAGGGATTTACCTCATGCCTACGATGAAAATGGGTTAATAGAAAGAATGTAAGTAATTTTTCTGATTTTTATAGTATCATTGTGTAATTTCTTTACAGCATATTATATTTCTAATACCAGGTGAAACTAATTTTTATTTATTTCTATTTTCCAGGAATCTTTCTGCTATTCAAGATAGAGAAATATGTTGTTATAGCATCTCATGTAAAGAAAAAGATAATATTGACATAACTTTGCAGTGGCTCATAGCACATTCAAAAAGTGGAGTTCGCTAATTATTGGCATTTTAATAAAGTCTGAAAAAATCTTCAATAACTCAAAAAACAAAACTAAAAATAACAATTTTATTGTTGGCTTGTAAAGGAAAAAGCATAATTTTGAAAGATCCATGATAAAACCCATGATAAAAAGTTAATTGAATTATAAATTCTTGTTCGTAACTCATTCATTTAGCTGAATCTTTGTATTTAGAAAAAGATTTAATTCAATAATATAAAAGTAAGTTGAATAAAACTGTAAAGTAATATTGATTGTTTGTAAACAGGAAATTAAGTTATATATTTTAAAAAAATAAAATGCAGGCATTTAGAATACCATTGTAGATGGATGAAATACCATTGTAGGTATTCATGCTTATAAATCTTAAAATGCATGGCTTCTCTAATATTGTTTTTTTGCCTTTGTCCAAAAAATGAATTGTAAATTACTAATATAATTAAAGATGTTGAGGAAATGTTTTTTTAATAACATCAACAACTTGAGAGATTTTTCTTTAAAGTTTTTTAATTAAAAATATGTACAATTTTCTATGTATAGTTAATCTTGGTTTGTTTTTGATGAAATACAAAAGCATTATTAATGGTATTTCAAATAATTGTCAAATGTAACGTAGAATGTTAATTTTAATAGAAGAAAAATCGTGTGAAAAAACATTTATCAAGAATTGCGTTTATTCATGAAAATTTATTTCACACATGAATTGTATGTATAAGAAATTCCTCATACATTGTGCTTCACTATCTTTATACAGTTTCCATGACTGCGTCATAAATCCTTTTTTATTCTGTAAACAATTATTACTCGTCTAGATTTATAGAATAAAATTATTTGAGGTATACTCATGAATAAAAGTCTGCTAAATCAGAAATCTATTTAACCTATGTAACACTTTCTCAGTTAAAAATTAGTCCAGTTATGTTTAAAAACTCTTATTACAATAAATTTTTATTTGGGTATAGATAGAATTTTATTTGTAAGTGTAATTTATCAAACTTATAAGCATTGAAATAATAGTTAGATGATATAATGGTTGTCTATTATTTATATTATTTAATACAATCAGTTGTAAGCTATTTGTGAATATCAATTACAATAAAATCTTATAATTCCATACAAGAATTTAATTCAACCTTTGTTTTTATTTTAACATAAATACAGGCATATTTGAGTAAAAGAAAGTTTTATTTCAATTTTCATAACTAAAATTTGTACAAATACTATAAATAACTATTATTTATCTAGTCTACCGCTGTTCATTTCAATTATATACATAGGATTAAAAAAAGTCAATCGTACAGGTGGCAAAGGGCCCTATCACTCTTCGTAAAGAGTGACAGGGAGGTAACGGTAAGGGCACGTACGCAGCCGCGGCCGAGTAGCAGTGAAGAAAGTAGCCGTTCTACTGGGAATGTTAGTTAATTCAGCTTTAGCGGCGCACTCAGGCCTGATATTAGCTTCGTATTATAGTACGTTAATTACAGTCTGTCAAACTGCAAAAGATACCGCTCAAGGAACAGTAAAATCAGAAAAAGTAATTTAATTTGAAGTATATAACATATGAGTGAATGAAGATTGTTATTTAATTTGAATGATTTCTGTAATCGACACCTCGACTGATCTAATGTATAATATCAGATTTTATTGGACGCGGAAAGTATAAAAAGTTATTAAAGAGATTTACGAAGAGTGGCTTATTGCAACTAATATTATTCAATAATTTAAAAAAATATTTTAAATATAATCACATAGATGCACATGTACATGTAAAACGCCTCTGTCTATTATTTAGAGTCAATTTATACACATATAACAGTGACCCCTGCGTGACCACATTCAGCCAAAACCGCATGATCGACAATTGAAATAACTTCACTTTAACTTACTCTTCAAAACCTACTTTTCAAGTTCATGAAAAATTTTTTTTCATCGATATATATCATTAATTATGAAGTTTAGTATTATAGAGGTTTCTGGGAAACGTTACTGGAACCTGAAATCCTAGAATCTATAACTACAGGCCCTTAAACCCCAATCCTTATGGACCTTATAACCTGCACGTGGATTTAATCATTCTCAAAGTGAAATTTTTCTAATTGTATTCACCAGCCATTCTCACGACTTCTTCTCTGGTTGAAATACTAGCGAGTAGTTTTTCATCAACCGTTTTGATGACTCTGGAGTGAAATTTTTCAGCTAAACAAATTAGCCGTTCTTATGGTTATACTTCTCCTTCTACGAGTCGCATAGTGCTTTTCACTTTATTACGCACAAAAATAAGTACATATAAGTATATTACTGCGGTTATTTTAAAATATCATTGTCTATTTTTAAATCAATCTGTATGCATTTGCAATGTATTTGCATTGGACTCCAGAATACCGTATAAATGGTACATGACAATGTTATTAATCAAGTACAATTAGTGAAACAATTATAATAAACTATCAGTTTCAACGCGTACAACTTCAATCACTCTATGTGTTGATAGAAATGGAAAAATAATTGCAGTCGCTGATTTAATTTAATTTAACAATGGAATACATTTATTTCAACAATGGATAAAAAAAACACATTGGGAATCGTCTATTGGCGAATTGCGTATTAAGTAACATATACGAAAATTCGAAAATACGAAAATCTTGGGTACATAATTATTTTCGAATATCTGTTACCAAAATGGAAGAGCTTTTACTAAAATTTGGACAAAGATTATTTAAAAAGTAGGAGATTCATGAACCTATTGGACTTGGAGAACGATCGATTAGCATCAACATTAACGTCAAATTGTTATATTGCGGTCGTTATTTATTCTTTATAGATTTCAACTTCTGTGCTGATTCGGCATATTCATTGAACTATCCATATTTATTTGGTACTACGTTGTCTGAAACTTGTGAAGCAATATGAGTCAAATTGTATCCAGATGGACTATATGGTCATTTGAATCAAGAAGATTTTGGCTTCAAATAGCAAATGACTATATGAGAAAAAGTCGAATTTTTCTTATTGTATTGGCTTAATTGATGAAAAGCATATCGGTATTGAGTAAGTTGAATTTTTACAACTCTATATTTGCGTGACATTCATATAAGAGTGCGCCTAATATATCGTATATATTTATTACTCAATAAAATTTGATTACTGTGTTTCAGTGTCCAGAGAATGCTGGCTGTATGTATCACAATTACAAACATTTTAAAAGTATAGTTTTATTAGCTTTTTGTGATGCTAATTATATTTTTCGGTTTGTCGACTTTGGAACTTACGGCAAAAGAAATGAAGAAGATATTTTTAATCTCGAATAGAGCAATTCGTATACCAATGTAATGTCGCCATTGATGTTGATTGTCGATTGCTCGTTGCCTTCATGAAAACACGCTCTTAGATTTTCTGTCGGATGCATGGAGTTATCTCCATGGTCGGGACTTTGGCTTTGGCTTCGGTTTTTACTTTCGAGGTTAGGCTGTTGAAGACTTGCATTTTACAATAATATGCAACGATAGAAAGTGTCAAGAAAAGTTTTTGAAAAATCCATAAAAATGGTTAAATTAACTCCAGATTTAATTCAGCAGTCTATGCAATACATAAATCCAGTGAGGGATCGTGAATTGGATTTGAGAGGTACTAGTACATTATTTTTCGCGGCAGAACCGTACTTGTGTGTTGAATATAACCTAAGAGGGATTTAATAATTTTCTAATAATCAATAAAAAAAATTGTTTTAAATTTCAGGCTATAAAATACCAACCATAGAAAATTTAGGCGCAACACTGGTATGTAATTTTTTAAAATAAATATATTAAATAGTAGTTGATAATTGATAAGTGTTATTATTATTAATTTTATTAATCTTATATCTTGATATACAGGATCAGTTTGATACGATCGATTTTTCAGATAATGATATACGAAAACTTGATGGGTTTCCATTGTTAAAGCGCATCAAAACATTATTTTTTAATAATAATCGTATAGTTAGAATAACAGATGGTTTAGAACATTGTATTCCAAATCTAGAAACATTGATGCTCACAGGGAATATGATTCAGGAGCTTGGTGATATTGATCCTTTAAAACCATTGCAAAATCTTGCTACTTTATGTCTACTGCAAAATCCTATTAGTGCTAAACCACATTACAGACAATATCTCATTTACAAGTTACCTCAATTAAGGCTACTTGATTTTAGAAAAATTAAACAAAAAGAACGAGATGAAACAAATGCATTTTTCAAAAGTCCAAGAGGTAAAGAAATACTGAAAGAAATATCAAAGAAGACCAAAGCTCAGGCACATGGAGCAAATGATACAGGAAGACTTCCTATGAGTGTAAATGAAAGATCAAAAATACGAGAAGCTATTTCCAATGCCACATCGCTTGAAGAAGTGCAGAGACTGAGTAAATTATTGCAATCAGGACACATTCCAGGAGATGACAGGCATCATAATGGTATGAATGTTAAAGTTATTTTCATATATTATATAAGAATAATTTTATTTAATGTTTCTTTTTGATATAGTTGCAATAAGCAATATGAATAGTCATTACCCTATTTTTTAGTTTGCTTCTTGAACTTAAAGTAATTTTTTAAAAAGTTCTAATAATTTCTCAGTAGAATATATAAATAGCTGTATTTTTTTGTTTTGTTTTGTCGTAAAGATAAATATCAAACAAAATGACTGAAATTATGTTGGCATGTATTATTTCATTTGTTTATTAAGTTTGATTTTTTGTTGTTGTAAGTGCATAACTTCATTAAGACTAAAATCAACTATATTTCAATGACAATTTAATTTTAAAATATATTTTATAACACTTAATTATAAACTATTTGATTATACCAACTGTATTTTACAATAAAGTTAAATTTAACTTCATCATCTTATCTACAGCCTTCTCTATTATCTTGGGTAATAAAAATATAATAATTATCTTTGATTTTGAATGTTTAGGAAATGGAGATATGGATGCAATGGAAGAAGAAGATGATTGAGTGCTATTGACTTGTAAATGAAAAAAGAAATTTAGGCATATACATTTATATATCCTTGTCGGTGTATGTATATATAAATTTATATATATATATATATCGACTACTACTATAATACCATTTATGTTTATATTAATTTTGAATGAAAGATAACTTCAAGCTGATTTAAAAAAGAGTACTACACAGATAATTATTGGTCCTAAAATTACTTATAAATATGTAATTAATTTATTGAATGTTCAGTTACTACTTTTAAAATCTATTAATGATTAATGAGTGACAAATGTATATATGTGGCTGAGAAGCGAAAACATTAGCCATTATAATACAGTAAAATATAATAACTCATAAATAGTGTCTCTTATTTCAGCTTAAATTTAATAAATTTTTATATGAACATGCAAATGTTTCATTTCTACGACCCGTCTTAAAAATTATTGAAAATATTTCATTAAATTTAACTTAATTTTAAGTACTGAAAACGATTGTCTTTTAAAACTTGAAAATTTTGAATATGTGAAAACAAACACCAGGCTAGATGTCAGCACTTCAAAGACGTTCCATTTTTGTCTATGAATGTACTAAGCTTGAGTAGACCATCCATAAAGGCAAATTTGGAATTTATTTGTTTGGTAATTAATTCGAAATGGGAAACTTAGTTGTACGCACTTGGGATACAGCTGTGCATCCTGAACTAAATCCTCAGCCTTATGGCCCAACTACCTTTGATCCTACATTGGGATTTGGTCCTCGAAAAGAAAGAGGTAATGATTCTAACCTCTACTGTATCGGTTCATATACAACATTCGTAATGTTTTTATCGTACTTAAAGTTATAATGTTTGTACATAATTAGCATTATACAGCGTTTTAGTATTTAAACATGATCATGAAGCTATTACATTGCATTTATAAGAATGTTATGACATAACTGCTGCAGAAGGAATGATAGAGTAGAACTTCATGGAAATGAAATTCTTAATTCAAATGATTTTGTCCATAATGTTTTATTTTTATCCACAAAACAACAAATAAATATAAGCCTATTTTGTGATTATAAAATGAAAAAATTAATTTTTTTATAATTAATAATGAAAATACTTGCACATAATTTAGACTAGCGACCATTTAAATTTGTTTCAAGTCATAATGTATTATTTTTGAGAATTATACATGCTAAAATAAACTAGCTATGTATAAAACTATTGAAAATAGTTTAATTTACTAATTATACATGTTTTTTATTAATACATTAATTTATTATATTGACACATTTGTTCTTTTTTGTTTTTAAATACTAGTGATGATTGCAACAGAACAGGAGTTGAGAGCTTGTAAAATTCCAAAGGAACAATGGGATTTCTGTGCACATAAATTTTTAGCTGTAGAAAAATGTAGAAATGAAAACTGGCCCTTAGCATGGAGATGTAAAAATGAAGCTCATGAAATGAGCAAATGTTTACATGACGAGTAAGTTGAAATTTTTTACCAAAAAATAATGTTTGTAAATCTAAGTAAATTTTTAATTTATCCCTTATAGAATTAAGTATTTTGATAATTACATGACTACTCTGAAAGTTGTATATATTTTAAGTTATAAAAATCATGAATAATTTGACTAAAAAAAGGTGCCATATTTGAAACTAAGAGAACATTGTCTTATAAGACATAAATATGAGTTGTTAGAGCTTTAGATTTATTAAATGTTATATGTCCTACAATCATAGAACAGCAATTTTTAAGTTGTATAATAAAATAAAAAATATTATGCAACATTGTTATTTTTGTTTCAAACATTAATATGTTACTTTATTTTTCCAGTTATATACTACGCATGAAGGAGTATGAAAGGGAGCGCAGATTAATCCAAAGAAAGGCACGTTTAGAACAAGCTGCAGCTGCTTAAATTCTGTAAAAAAATATTAATAATTTTTTGATTGAAATCTAGTAATATTATAAACAAGGGAAAAATTCTCTTGTTTTTGTACATAAATCTACATTGTTTCAAATATAATTCTTGATCAGTAAATGATTTTGTTCCTATTGCTTGAATTATTTGATTGAGAGATAGTATTTTAATTATTTTGAGATCTTAATTTAAGATGATGAATAGATATACAATCTTTCTAAATTTTAGATGTAAAATTTATCTCTCAATAAGTTCATAAAGCTCATGTAAAAATACTATTAAGGTTTTATTTTTGGCAACCTAAAATACTTATGTCTGTTCTGCACAGAATGGCCTAGCAGTACTTACAATTTTAATAGTAGTACTGAAAACCATTGAAGATACAAGCTTAGACAAGTATCTATCTTTATTGGTAAAACTGAGTGTTAGTGAAAATAAAAAATGAAAAAAGAAATAAAATAATAATGGTAAAACTCCACTGTTTCTATATTAGTCTTTAATCATAAACAAACTTATTATCCCAAAAGGAATATAAATGCAATATCATTTTTGTTAGTATTTTGTTTTAATCTTTGAATTTCATCTGTTTCATTAATCTGCGTTAATTTAAAAATTTTTATGAAATTGTTCTTATTGACAATCGGTTATTTCGTTAAAACAAGTTCATGCTAAGGAACGATGAAATAAAGAAGGAAGAAATTTATATTATCGATATAAATCGTCGCGCATTATGATTTTCGGATGAAAATGAAAATATATAGCGAAGGAAGCGCGAGCATTGAAATGGCTTGAGGAGAAAATCGATAAAGGGCTGATGCGGCATTATATACATGTATGTAGCGGCAGCACACGCTTATTCGCGTCGAGATTGCTTACACAGAATGTAAGTATTTTAACACAAAAACTTCTTAATGCATCTGGCTTCCGGGAGTTTTGCGCGATAGAATGTTAAAAAGACCTTGTCGAGTAAATTTCAGAAACGAAAAAGAATGTCAATATTACTGTCGAAGGTTTACTTGACCGAAGTTTTATTTGGTTAGTTTTCTACACTCTAGTGAATTTTTTTCTGAAATTTAAAAATAACTCAAGATACAATTGTTAGAAGATTTTTCAAAAGGCAATTCAGAATAATGAGGCGAGTCTTCCAGGTAAGACGTATAGACTAGTGACGCATAAACTATGTAAAATCATATCAGTGTTTTATGCTTTTAATTTATGTCAATTGGTGATAAATAATAGGCAATCTAATGAATTATACGATTTTTTAAATTGTATATTATCTTATATAATAATAATCTATGTCGTTAAGTATAATCGAAATATTATATTTTATTCGTTCGCCTAAACGAATGAATCATCACAACGCAAAATGACGTTGTGAAATTTATACTGTAACTTTATACTTGTCGCGAATTCTGATAAATTAAAATTTGATGTTGGTGTCTGTGAATAAAAGTTTGGAACCACCTTTCAAAATTTTGTCACAAAATTTATAAATTCATAGATAACGTAATCTACGATAGACAATGATGTTTGTTAAAATTTTGCGTAAACTCGTAAGTAGAAAAAAAAAATTTGAAGTGGTCAAAAAGTACTACGTTTACGCATTTGAGCCTTTTATAAAGCTAACAATTCGCATGATAATAACTTCACTTTTGCATAGATACGTGGGAGCGGCTTTTAAACAGTTGCGGCGAGCTTGCGGACAAATTCATGGTCGACAAGTTTTTAATTTGATTACAAGATCTTCCTGGTGGTTCACAAACTTTTTCCGCGTAACTGTCAAATATTTTTTTTCTCTCGATAATTAAGAAAATATAAGAAAATTATCAATACTTACCTAAAGATTGAATTTAAAATGGAAAAATAGTTACAGTTTGTGTTATTTTCAGAATATATATTTCTGGTATAAAAGTATAAGTACAATTTTTACAACCGTAGAAAATACGTACGAATTAATTATAATGTAAAATTGGTGAAAGAGTGAAAATAATATATTTTCACTATTAATTTTTTCATTTGTTTTAATATTTACAAGCTGAATGTTTTTAAACTTAAGTATAAAATCAAATAGAAAATAGTTTTAAAACTAGTCATTATAAATGATTATTAAGATAGAGAGGCTAATACCATTCGTACCTGACATAGAGAGCATGAGAGAGCTTTGAGCATTCTAGCGATTCGTCTAATTCACAGCAAAATATGTTCTTATAAAGTCAGTGGTGGTTTGGATGATTTCTGTTCTGTTAAATTACAGTTTTACGACGGCACATGGCTTCGACCTCTATATAGTATGATAATTTGATTATTAATCCAAGATATATACGTATTTACAAAATCGATTATGTATTGTTTGCAATTTTATTTATCTTTGTTTGTTCGATAAAACTGAACACGAATCTCAGAGATATGGGAAGAATATAAATCTCGAAAGAATCCGTTCTATTCAACAAAATTAAAATTCTTATTTTGGCATTAATGCTTGAAAATTAAGATTTAAATTATTATATTAGTACAGCAGTTAAGAACATTTTTCAGTAAGAGTATTTTCACTGTAGCAAACTTGAAATACATTTGACTTTGTTGTTTTTGAAAATTGGCAGTTTGCCTGTAATTCGGAACACATAATTTTACAGTGCACGATTACACTTTGGAGATATAAAAATCTATGGTTGAAAATCAATTTCGATTTCAAATTAAAAGACCTAATTTGAACATTTCAATGGCTGATTGAATAATTTTTCAAGGAATCTTGAAAGTGAATGAAAGCATAAATAAATTATTATGTATATATAAACATCGTCAAATTAACCCTACAATTGTAAACAAAATAAGAATATTCAATTATCAGGAGTGAAAAGGTACCTTATTTTCCATTTTTTCTCTTTTTATTGAATTGGGAGGAGGTATGCCTGTAAGAGGATCATAAAATGTTCGATTAGGCAGCAAAAGTTCTCAATACTGGCAACAAAACTATGCCTTATAGACCATTCGTTGTTAGTACTTTGCATTGTTTCTGTTTTTCGCTGTAAATTTTACAATATCGTCGGATATTTAGTTGAGTGCTTTTCCAAAACGAAGTTGAAGAGAAAACGCCTCGTAAATCGTTCGACGTTTTTGAACTCTGACCTGATTCGAGAGCAAAAAAGTGAGGTAGTGTGCGAAATTTGATTGTTCTTTGTTTTGGCGCGTTAGGATCCACCACGAAGTTGTTGGAAAGTAAATTAACGACGAGAAAATCGAGTCGCACGTGTAAATATAATGTTTCATTTTTTTTTTTTTTGCGTGGCTAGCGCTAACAGCGTCTAGTAGAAAATATATCGCAAAAAAGTAAGAGCCAAAAATAGCATCGTAGCCGAAAAACGCGTGATCGTTCCTGCATATTCTCGATGAAAGGCATTGCCATCTAAACGACTCGCCCTCGGGGTTCATCGTTTTAATATATACGGCGCGATCGTGTCAGAGGAGAGCGATATAAAACTGGACACACGCGTACGTTGACGCGGAGAGCGGCTCGAGACGAAACTTTTCTTTTTTTTTTCTTTTTTTTTTCTTCGAGTGGTCGTGGGCTCGCTTTGCGGAAATATCTGCGAAAAAAAAAACCGAAACCTCGGGCGAAACGAAAGTATTCCCGCTTGTTTCTAGGTCAGAAAGAGACGGGACAGCGTGTAAATAAAGTCTGCGGCGCGCGATTCCTAACGGAGGAGCAGTAGGGATATGCGTCGATAACGTTTCGATTCCGATACAGCGGAGTGTTTCGGGCGACGCACGGAGTAAACATCGCCTCATACCCCCGTCGGCCGCTTGTCTTCGGCTCTCCCCTGCAGCTCGCTACCTCTTACGTGCGCCTTTCTTGTTCTTTTTTTTTTCTCCTCTTCTCTTTTCCTTTTTTTTTCTCTAAAACGTGCCGCGACGTCGGGACTAGATTACAAAATAGCGAGAGAAAAAAAAAATAATCGACTTCTGGACGATGATCGGTGAACGAAGTAAGAGAGCGAAACGGTTTTCCAGCCATTCCCATATTGAGTGAAATATTCCATTGGTGTTTGATAGTAGCCTGTTATCCGTTGATCGACTCGACGTAGTTTTGGATCGATGCCCGTCGTCGTTTCGCCGGTGAATCGCGCGCTCGTCGAGCAATGCGAGAACCCGCGCGTTTCGCTCGGCCGGACCCTAGTCCGACTTGACCGCCGTCGCCTGCTGCGTTCGCTGGTAAGCCTTGAGATAGAAGTCGTAGAACAGCACGAAGAAGATGGTGGAGTGGAGCAGCAGGAGGGCGGCGATGAGTCTCGGGTAGCCGCAGTCGAAGACCAGCGCCTGGGCGCTGTGCACGAACACCAGGAAGAACTGCACCTGCGAGCAGAGCGGACGAGCTGGACTTGGCGCGCCGGCCACGCGGGTGGCAGGCGGGCGCGGCCGAAATACCATAGCGCGGTTGCGCCACGCGGACGCGGTTCGCGCCCGGTCCGCCGGCCGCAGCTCGGCTGTCGCGCTCCCGTCCTTCGTCGAACTTGGATCGCGCGCGGCAGCAGCACCGGCGGCCCGTGGCTTTTGTAATCGCCGGACCGCGGCCGCGATGTAGCAACGGACAAAGAGCGAGAAACGAGAGCGATCAAAGTCGGGCGAACGGGGAGGCGGGAGGAAAATTCGGTATTGCGAAAACCGGGGCCGGCGGCGCGGCGGGTTGGCCAGCTGGAAAAACGCGCTTGCGACAATTTGAAATCGTAGCGTAGGCCAGGTATGCAGCAGCCGTTCACTTTTCAGGCCTTAAGTGCACACTTTGAATTATCGGATAGCCAAGAGAGAGAGAGAGAGAGAGAGAGAGAGAGCCAGTCGCACAAGCTTGCGTGCGGCAACCGTCGGCCGTTGCTCGGCCTTGCGCAATTTCGGTTGGCCTGCGCGCGTGCACTCACACACACGCGCGCGCACGCGCGCGCACACTCGACCACCTGCTCGATCTCGCGCGCGAACGCCAGCAGCCTCCTTTCTTTGTATTCTCCTCCGCTTGTCAATGCCTCGGCGCCGCGGCAACAAAGAGGCGAACTCTTTGCGGCCGGAATCGCCGCGAGAATAACCGGATCGCAGCATCGTCGACAATTCGGCTTTATCTGGCGACCTTCATCGCGCAACGCCTCGCCGCGGAGGCGAGCGGCGGGGCCAACTTACCAGCTGGACGGTGGTCAGGTGCTTCTTCCACCAGAGGTACTTCTGGTACTCGGGACCGGCGGCCGCGAGCGCGTAGTACGAGTACATCACCACGTGCACGGCGTTGTTGATGAGGTTGCCGAGGGTGCCGTGCCCACCCGCGATGAACTTGACGCAGATCCACGTCTCCAGGGGGGTCAGCGAGTGGTGGTACAGGTGCAGGAACGACACCTGGCTGTCCTTCTTGCGCAGCACGAAGAATATCTGCCAACAGTTTTCGGCGCACCTGTACAATCGCGTCGCCCGTCCGCCGATACTCCCGGCTCTTTCGCCGCTTCGTCGGCCCGCGACACCGAGACCAACGATCGTCTCTTGATCCCCGGTGCGCGCCCATTTTTCACTCGTGCGCGCGCGCGAGTTTGCACGGAGAGATCGGCTTGGCGCGCATTTCCCAACGACAAATCGTCCCTCGGGTGGCCCAACAGCTGCACAAGCGAGTCTTACTAAACGGAGCGTTGATTTTTTTTTTTTTTTTTTTATCGATAAGTTGCATATCGCTTGCACTTTCCATAGTTTTTCTTCGGGCTTGCGAAACATCCACGCGAACGCAATTGTTGCATCTGCCCTCTCAATAGTTGGTTCCTCTACCCTCGCTCGCGCTCGTCACATAATTCAAATGTTAATTCGCACACGCGATGCTTACCGTGTCGGCAAACTCTGTGAACTTGCTGATGAAGTACCACCAGCACAGATTGGCCATCCGCAGAGCTGACGGATTGTGCGAGTAATCGACCGGTTGGCACTTGTAGCTATAATCGGTGAGCCATCCGGACATCAGGTGCTGTTGGCGTTATTATTATTACAAACGACGTTGTTCAACGTCGATATTCTTATTTTTTATTTTATTTCGAGGGTTCCTCAAACTTGATTTAAGAGCGCCAAGCCGTATTCACGAAGAATGTCAACGAATTTAATATCTTATCGTTCTGGTTTTTACCCGAACATCGCGTGGTTTTTTCCTTATCCATATAATATGCAATTGAGTGTTCATTTCCGTGAATTGTCCGACAGGCTGGCAAAATCATGTTGCTATTTTAGACAATACGACGACACTGATGGAACAACGGTAGCACGGTACGATAAATAGCAAGCACTAGTCCGACAAACGCGCGAGGCGCGCTCGAATCCGACGTATTCAAATTGCCAGGGAAGCGTGCAAGTTTATCGCGACGAGGAGCGGAGACTCGCGACCTTCGTAAGGGGAGCGCACCGGCGACGGCGTCGGCGTACGTAATGCCCGAGCTCGAAATAGCCGAACGTCCGCGAAAGTCCGCCTCGCCGATGGAGCCACGTGGATCGGGAGGACGGAACGATGAGTAATCGAGTCGAGCGACGCCGAAATGAGACAGCCATCGCGTCGTCGGGAGACGACTCAGCGCGATGAGATTCGTCGAGACGCGAGAAAAAAGTGGGCGGTCCGTCTCGTTACGCAATTGAGATGCTCCGAATGGTTAATTATAAGAATCTTCAGGAGGAAAAAAGAAGCTCGAGCTCTTTTTTTGTTTTTTTTTTCCTCTTCGGTCGATGATACACACGCGGGCAAAAAAGAACGAGAAAAAAAAGAGAAAAAAAAAGAAAAAAAAAATTGGCGCGCAGAGGTAATAAGCACGAGCGAGGCGAGTTCATCGCACGTATAAAAAGAGCAATGGCAAAGGAATGCCGCTGACCTCGTAAAGCATGGCTAGGGAAAAGATAACTTGGAAAGCATTGTAAGCGACGAGCGTGGTCCTGAGTTGGAAGGGCTTGCGGTTGGCCATGAGCCGCGGTCCAAGGATGGTGACGCTGTAGAGGTAGAATACGACGATGAGGAAGGTCGGGATCGGCGAGTCCATGAGCGGCCAGTCGTTCACCCGCGGGTCCGAGACGGTGGTCAGGATTTGAGCGTACTGGTCCAGCGCCATGCGCACCAGCGCCTCCGCGCCCACGAAGCTGCGATTCGCCTCGAGGGCGTCGATTATCTGGGGATCGCGCTCCCGCTCCATCACCAGCTCCGCAGCCGCCGATGCCATCGCGATCGGAGTCGCCTCGATGACCGCGCCTCGGCTGGACTGATCTGGCCGGCCGCCGGCGCTTCCTGCCCTCCTGCAATCACAGCGCGCGCCTTGAATCTCTCGTGCCGGCCGCGGCAAGCTGTCCGCTCCTTTGTCCTCGGCGCTCAAGCCGGCCGAACCGAAGGACGTGGCGCGAGCGACGGGCCTTGCCTCGCGCCGCCGCCCTTTCCGACTCTCGCCCTCGCCGACCGACGTCGCGGCCCTTCCCGTTGCGAGCGTCGCACGCGCGGTCCACGTTTGCCTGCTCGACAGCTCCGGGGTCGTTGCTCGCGCGAGGCTGCCGAATAATTATTCGATTATAAAAATAAAGGCCGGCTACCCGCGTCTCCTTCTTTGTCCGTTCTTTGGCGAGCTACTTCGTAAAAGTAAACGGCGCGCTTTTAATCCGTTTTGCGCTGGATTTTTCGACGGCCCGTCGGCGAGGCCGCCATTTCGTCCGATTGCATCTCTACGTCTACTCGCGGAAGAGTCGAGCCCGGCGAATAGCTGTCGGTCGTTTCGCACGGGCCCGCTAATCGACAAATCAACTTCGAAACTCAATCGAGGATTTTGCGCGCACACGGACGCGTTACCCAATCTAATCGAATGAATGGCGCGCGAGTGGCGATTCACGCAGCAGCGTTTTCGACTGCGTCGACACCGGCGGCCGTAATGGCTATTTTATGGCATCTTCCACGCTGAAAAATTTCAGTTACAAAATCAGCGCCAACGCGCGTAATGACATTTCTTCCTTTTTCTTTTCTCTCTCTCTCTCTCTCTCTCTCTCTCTCTCTCTCTCTCTCTCTCTCTCTCTCTTATCGGACCATTACCGATTTGCCGTTTCACGAATCTGCAGCGCGACTAGAATGACTAAGGAATGACGATATTGCATCACTGATGAGGCTGCCGTGGCTTTTTCGAGTCACCAAACTCTTGCTTCGAGCGGCACTGGCGCTGTGATGTAAAATGCACACGTCTACGAAAGTAGCATTCGAAAATCTCGGATACCTTGGTCTCTCGCATCCCAGAGAAAACAAAAATGGAAAGAGAGCTTTTGATAGTCTTCGTAGGCGTCGGGCGAGATCGTGTCGAACTGGTTATTCGCAAATAATCTCGTTGGTATTAGCATCGACGTTGCCCTGCAACGCGATAAAAATCGAGACGTTCACCCTTAGCGGTGCAGGCGAGACGGGTAACTGTCGATTTTCAAAGGCTCGAAAGACAGAGAGAGAGAGAGAGAGAGAGAGAGAGAGAGAAAGAGAGAGAAAATCAGAGCCAACAGATGGCGGATGAAACGGTACAAGTAGCGGAGAAAGTTTCTCGCCGACTATTTTTCTGCACCTACTCAATGACTTTATCGGTCTCGTTTTCTCGCGGGCTTTCGCCTTTCCGTTTCTCGTTTATCGAGCGTCATCGGCGTTGAGAACTGGCCGAGTTTGTCCCACGAGCAGCCCGATCGAGCGCAGCCCACTGCCGTTCGGATCGAGGGGCGGCGCAGCGACGATCCGCGACGACCGGCCGTAAGCTCGCCGAGGCGTTTGGGGAAGAGGCGAACCGGAGAAAATGCGCGCTCGCGAAGGCATAGATTGGAAAGTGCGCGCCGAGGCGGCATCGCGTGTGCGCATTCCGAGCCGTTATTAAAAGTCAAGATCTCGGCCGAAAACGGCAGGCGCGCCGGCGAGTGTCGTCGGCGCACCGGGTAGTCGCGATCGACGGCCGGACGGAGCGCGAGGAGGAGGAGGAGCCGCGCAAGAGCGCGCGACGATCGCGCCCGCAGCGCGCGTACGCGAGCCGTTAGTGGGTAAGTGGGCCGTGCGCGCCGCGGCCGCGCTTAATTATCAATCGGCGCCCGAGCAGACGCGACTCGCTGTACCTGCGCGCGCCACCGAGCCATTGACTCTCGCTCGACCACCGCCTCCCCCCCTCGCCGCCGCAGCTTCTCTCCGCTCTCTGCGCACATCTACGCGCGCGCGCGCACGTGCGCATTTGCGTGCAGCTCGGCGGAACTCCTCGGGTCGCCATCGTTGCGAGCTGCGGACGAACTCGCGGCCACGACGAGGAAAGCGCTCCGGGGCGGGTGGGGGGTAACGGCGAAACGGCACACATCGAGGCGGTCGGGCGCAAACGATGTCAGCGCGCGGGTGCGCTCGAGCGACGTCGGCGGAGAGGGAGGAACGGCGAAGTGCCGGCGCCAAGCGCGAGAACCGACGGAGAGAGATCAATCGAACGGACTTTTTTAATCGTGCCCCTCTTTCGCCCGGACGCCGCGCGAATTTCTCCTCTTTTCTCCTGCGAGGCTCGTGCTCTCGACGTCGGCTGCTGCCGCTGCTGCTGCTGCTGCTGCTCGCCGGCGCGCGTTTACTTTCAAAGTGCTCTCCCACGGCGCGAAACGGGACATGCCTCGCGTCCTCCTTCGGCGAGCCCCCGCAGCAGAAGAGACGCGCCGATCCGTCGATGCGCGCCGGTGCGACTTGTCCGTCCGTCTCTCTCTCGCCGCCCGAGATCTTCACTTTCTTCTCCACGACTGCTGGCGAGCTGCGGCCGCCCGCCCCGTTTTCCCCGCGGACGTCCGACGAACGCGCTCGCCGCAATAATGCCGCGACTGCACTTTGCCGCGCGCGCGCGCGCGAGCGCAAAGTCAATACGTGGCGAAAGCCCGCGCCGCGAGCGAGAACTTTGCGCAAATGAGCGCGCATATCGCAAGCAGAAGCGGAAAAAGCGAATCAAGCGGACGTCAGCGAACGGCCGAGGCGATTGCGAGAGCGCGGTTGCGCGCGGCTGGAAGGTCGCCGAAACCGGCCGACCTTACGCCAGCGCCACCTCCGGGCTTTCGCGCCGCCACCCCGTCTCGCGGGCCCCGGGCCGCGGCGAGCCGGCGACGAGCGCGACACCGAGGAGGAACCCCCTCGCGCGCTTGCCGCGCGGAGAAAGGAAAATCGAGTCGACCGGCCGTGCGCGCATTTTGAAAGAGCATTGGGAAACGAGAAATGTGGTCCACCTCGACCTTGTGCCAAATAATAGTATTGGATTCCACATAATAACGAAAACAAACCTCGGGCGCATTTAACTGGCGCGACGAGTTTATGAAAATGCCTCTCGTCGCGCTTCACTCAGCATATCAAGTGGCCCCGAATTCCAGCTCGCTGTACTTTTCATTTCGCCGCGCGCTATCAGCGCCGATTTATCGCGAGGCAACATCGAACTTCATTGCAAAACTGGCTGACTACGATTGTGAAAGTTTGCATAATTTTTCAAGCCGCGCTCTCATCTTTTTCCGAGCCCCGCTTCTTTATTTCTGCGTTTTCCTTTTTTCCTTCTTCTTTGCGCTCGCGGTAATAGCGAAACGTTGCCGAGGAAAATGTCGACGGGTATCGCGAGGAAACGGTTTCAAAACTGACTGGCTCCGCGTCAGTTATAAAACGGTCAGAGCAGTCCGCGGATACGAAACGCTCGTCGCGATTTCTCGCGCGATCGGTGCAGCGCGCGAACCGATTGGCTGCGACTGCATTCCAGTTCCAAGTCGGTTCGCCATCGTTAAACGTCGATAGTCAATCCCGACGTGCCCTTAGCGACTAGAAAGTTTGATTCCTCTGGGGCGACGAGCCCCGATTCCCGGGACTTAAGTAGCAAACTGCGCGCGCGCGCGCGCGTCGTTCATCGAGTAGCCAAGCTTCGAGCGAAGATGGGTTACGCGTCTCTGGCCGTTTCTCGGTTCGCCAACGTCGTTCCACGACTCACGGACAAATCGCCAAATAGAATTGATTGTTTTGTTTTGTTTTTTACCCTGCCGTGTACGGCAATCCAATTGGAATCCTCCTATGGTTTACCGGATGGGTGAACTTTCAAGTGGAACAAAAATCGTGCACTTTATTGGCGTCGAGGAGAATGTAACACTGATCACTGTTAGAACGTTGTTGGAAACTCACAAAATCTCTGGCTCGTTCTACTTTGGCTAAGGCGAACAAAGACAAATTATTTTGTCACACCGGCACTGAGTCTCGTCTTGAGTAGAAAAGCAGCCGCGTAATTGGCAACATTTAGTTCGATCGTAAAGCTTCGGCTGGCCAAAAGGAACGAAGAGTAAGCGAAATGGAGAAAAGGCGCGCGTGTATGAAGCGAGAGAGAGAGAGAGAGAGAGAGAGAGAGAGAGAGAGAAAGAGAGAGAGAGGGGAGGGGAGAGGGAGAAAGTGAGTGAAAGAGTAGAAGAAAGGCAGAGGCAGAATAGAGGAAAGGGTACGAGAGAATGAAATTCACGAGAGAGAGAGAGAGAGAGAGAGAAAAAGAGAGAGAGAGAAAAGTTAGAGCAGAGAGCTATACGTTCGATCGCGTAGCGATGCTGCGCGGATAGTGCGCCGGGGCCGCAAACGAGCCTCTGCTTTAAGCGAGTGGGCCCCCGCCGCCTCGCGCGCCGGTCCCAACTTCGCCGCGACTTGCGCTTCTCGCTAAGTTAGCCTCGTAGTGGGGCGGCCCTCGTTCAAAGCTCGCGCGTGCTTACCATTTCTCTCTCTCTCTCTCTCTCTCTCTTTCTTTTATCACTCCAATGAGTTTTCCTGCAACTGTCTCGCGGACCCATCCAGCTTTCGGCAATTGCGATCGTCCCTCGGCCGAGTGCTCGGGACAAGCGAGGCTGCCGATTTTCCGACCTATTTCTTCGCGTAATCGAATGCGCATACGCGCTACGGTGATTTAGAGCAGCCAACCTAAAATCCTATTGTGCGAAATATGTAACGATACGCGGTGATTGTACGGACATTCAAGTTCGGTCATTTTAAGACAGGTTGTGCAATCGCGAGCATTGGCTTATCGGGATTAATCGAATCTTGCTACACGTTATCTTCGTTTCGCCAGCGGTGTCCCCGGACCGACGGTAAGGCGCGAATGGAAATGCGTGCGCGGCTGTCCTTTTTGCGCTTTCTCAGCGCGTACCGATTCCAATTTTTTTTTTTTTCCTCCACAATGGCCGGCGTTTTGCCACGACT